TGGCTTAAATTAACAATAAATAACTTTTATTGTTTTTATGACATTTATAATGTAATAAATCGATTGAAACAAAAATTAAATATTTTTATTATTATGTAACGCATTGAGCAGAAAACATTAATTTTTTATATTTTATACCCTGTTGAATAAATTGAAATGACCTTGAGACTTCCATAAAAGGATCTAGCATTTGTATTGGTCAGTGAGCTGAGACTATTTGAGCATAAGATACCTGTCTTTTACTCATACGACTATCCATTAGAATATAATGATTAGATTATTATTAATAGATTAATAATACAGTATGTTTGGAATCATACAAATAATTTTTAATTTACAACAGTAATTGTAAATATAATTTACAGTAATTATGGAGATATTTCGACGGCTATTTGATATAAGGACTCGAGATTTATTAGTACCGACGGTCGCTGTGCTCACCATTCATGTCATTTGGTAATATGATATACATTCTCTCTCTCTCATTTTAATTAAACAATTGTATTTTAAAATATTGATTTAAAAATCAATATAGTTTGATGATAATGACACTCAATGTGATCAACACCAACATCAAAGACGGTGGCACTAACGGGAGAAAAACAGTTACCCCGCGGACCACTTGTGATATACTTCTCAAATATTTGGTCATATCCTACACATCGCTATGGATTGTATGCATAATTGTTGAGACACTGATTGTTAGTTTTGCCATCAATGGTACCAAAATGAATACAATCATCAGATTTATTACCACAATTAAAATAGGTATTGTATTAATTGAATTGATATTCATTTACTACATGTTTTATCTTGTTGTAAATGTAATTATTTTATAACTGATAATTTTCAGCATTTAACTTTATATAAAGTTATATAGTTATATTTTAAATATCATGATCTATTATATAAGTATATATAATAGATTAACAATTTAATTAACAAAATTTAGTGTATTTTATTTTACAAATAATTGGTTTTATAATTAATAAATAATTAATAAAATTAAACGTTATTTTTAAAACACTAGGTCTATTTGTATTGGAGATAATACTGCTTATTGTGAACACCTCGCTGATCGGCCACTACATTGGTTTCTCATCAACTGGTAGTCAGTGGTGTCGGAATTTCCAACTAATGAAAACAGTGGTCGACCTGACCATATTCAACTGGATCATATTGGCCATCATGCTGGTGGCCATCTTATCAACGGCCACCATAAAACGCCAGATTTAACAGTAATTTTTAATACATTGTAGAAATACACAGAATATTCTGTTATTTAATAATTTATTTATAAAAATATGATAATTATGTATTTTTTCATTATTCTATCTAATTCTAAATGTAAGTTTAATTTGTATTTGTGTGAACTTTTTTGTTTTGATTACATTTTCATTTTTGATAAATTCAGTTATATTTTATACTTACACTATTTATAACATTTATAATGCAATAAATTGATTTAAACAAAAACTAAATATTTTATTCATTAAAATGTAAGGCATTGAGGTGAAAACATTAATTTTTACATTTTATACCCTGTTGAATAAATTAAGATGGCCTTGAGACTTCCATAAAAGGATCTAGCATTTGTATTGGTCAGTGAGCTGGGACTATTTGAGCATAAGATACATTTGAGCATGTAATTTCCCATACGACTGTCCATAACATGCTTTTAGTAATAGTACAGTACGTATAAAATCATTTGATATAATTGTGTAATTTAGTGAATATTTTTGTAATTGTAATTAAAATCATTAATAAATATGAAGATATTTCGACTATTGTTTAATATTAGGACACGGGTTCTGCTTGAGTCGACGCTCACAGTTCTCGCCATACATGTTGTCTGGTATGTAGTCTCTCTCTCATTTTAATTAAACAATTGTATTTTAAAATATTGATTTAAAAATCAATATAGTTTGATAATAATGACACTCAATGTGATCAACACCAACATCAAAGACGGTGGCACTAACGGGAGAAAAACAGTTACCCCGCGGACCACTTGTGATATACGTCTCAAATATTTGGTCATATCCTACACATCGCTATGGATTGTATGCATAATTGTTGAGACACTGATTGTTAGTTTTGCCATCAATGGTACCAAAATGAATACAATCATCAGATTTATTACCACAATTAAAATAGGTATTGTATTAATTGAATTGATATTCATTTACTACATGTTTTATCTTGTTGTAAATGTAATTATTTATAACTGATAATTTTCAGCATTTAACTTTATTTAAAGTTATATAGTTATATTTTAAATATCATGATCCATAAGTATAGATAATTGATTAACAATTTTATTGACAAAATTTAGTGTCTATTTTATTTTATAAATAACTAGTTTAATAGTTAATTTTATGAAAAATTAAACGCTATTTTTAAAACACTAGGTCTGTTTGTATTGGAGGTAATACTGCTTATTGTGAGCACCTCGGTGATAGGACACTACAATGGTTTTTCAGCAACTGGTGGTCAGTCGTGTCGGAATTTCCAACTAATGAAAACAGTGGTCGACCTGACCATATTCAACTGGATCATATTGGCCATCATTAATGTGGCCATCTTATCAACGGCTACCATAAAACGCCAGATTCA